CCCCAAAACCCCAAAACCCCAAAACCCCTCAGTTCATCATAGATGTGGATAGATGAGTAGATGTTTATTTAACCTTAAATGCATATAAACTTATTTATTAATTATAGAGAACGTCACATTAAAATGATGATCGAAGACTATTATACAAACAAATCTATTCTTATTACTGGTTGTACCGGGTTTTTAGGTAAGATAACTCTAGCATCTGATTATACTAGGCAAGGTTATTCTCGAGAAGATGCTAAGAAGTCTTCCCGTGGTTAAGCGCATTTATATTGCAATAAATTCAAGAGTAAGATATTATTAGACATGAGATCATTGAATGCATTTGCCATTAATAAAGAGGGAATTTGCTAAAATTGTATTTAGGGAGAAAATAATGCAGAATATGGAAGATTTAAAAAGGAAATATAAGATTCGCTAGTGTTTGATAGACTAAGAACAGAACTTGGTGAAAAGGGGCTTAGGCATATTATAAAGTAAAAGGTGAGGCCTATTGCGATGGATCTTGTAAGTATATGTCATCTCATCTTATTTTTAATCTATAGGCAAGAGACGATTTGGGTGTCTCTCCTTAAGTTTAAGAAGAGCTCTTTAAAGAACTTAATGTTATCATTAATAGTGCAGGAAATGTCGAATTCGACACCAGATTAGATTAGGCACTTAAAGTAAATGTCTCTGGACCCTTGAACTTATTAAAACTAGCTGAAAACGCTACTTAGTTTGAATGCTTCTGCTAAATCTCTACATGCTACACCTTGATGGATAAAGATGGTCTGATTGAAGAAAAGATGATGAATTCACCAGTCAACTGGCAAGCAATATATAAACAAGTTTAGTAGATGCCACTCAACGATATCGAGCATTACGGGAAAATTATAATGGGAAACTTTCCTAATACTTATGTATTCACTAAGAGAATGGCTGAACATCTATTGGTCGAGAACAACACTAAAAAATTACCAATGATGATAATCAGACCATCAATTATATCAGCTTCTTTGGAAGAACCATTCCCTGGCTGGACAGATTCTATTGGTCTTATCGGCGGCATTTATCTTTTAGCTGGTCTGGGCATATTGAGAGAAATTCCAGGAAACTCTAATAACATTGGTGATTAGGTACCAGTAGATATAGTAACAAACCAGATTCTTGCATGCATCCCAGCCACAGTTTTCCAAGCAAGAACCTCTCCAGAGAATTTGCTCATTACTCATTCTTGCACCAGCAGTGTGAATCCAATCATTTGGTCTGAGAATATGGAGTACCTTAGATTATACTTTAAGCGTAGCCCTCTCAAGGATAGAGTTTTCGAGCCTAGCGTTAACATGATTAAAAGCGAAAAACTATTCAATGCATCATTTTACCTGCGAAGAAAACTTCCAATGGCTATAGTACACAAGCTAACCAATGTTTTCGGAACTAAAATTTTCAAGGGTAAGATGGATTAACTCAAGGATGCTATCGACAAGTGCGAGGAGATCGCCGTGCTGTTCAAGCCATTTACAAAGAATGAGTGGATATTTAGTAACCAGAGAGCCTACAAGATTTTCAAGGGAATGAACGACTCTGACAAGAAGAACTTCAACTTCGATGTAACTAGAATCAAGTGGAAAATGTTCATCATGAATCACGGCTATGGTATCAAGAGGTTTATTCTTAAGGAAGAAGCTGAGCAGCCGTCAGTTGGCTACAGTGATGTGGTTTCAGTAAGATTTGAATAAGAAATTTGTTGGTTTTATTAACTTTTCTATTTAGTATATGGGCGTCATGCATGGAGAGAACTACCTGCCTTGGTTAAGCAGAGGTTAGCCTCTAAAGGTGAGAACCACCGATGAAATGAAGCAAATGATATTGAATAATAACGAGGTTAAAGAGGTGATTGCATCAATGGTCAGAGAAAGGTCTAAGAAGTTGGCTGATCATTTCCAGGTCATGCCTGAGGAGGACAAGATATACAAAGAAATCTATAAGGAAGCCAATAATGTGATCGAGAGAATTATGAGTACCTACAATCACAACCTGCTCATTCCATTTGCTCAAGTCATGAAGAAGACGTTCGTGAGCATCTATGAAAAAATTGTTATCAACGAAATCACTCTTAACGCAGTCAAGAAAATCTGTGATTCTAGAAAAGGACCAGTTATTTTCTGCCCAACACATAGATCTTACATAGATTTCCTATTGCTGTCTCTAGTTTTGTACTACTACAAGATGGAAGTACCCCATATCTGTGCGGGAGAGGACTTCTTGAACATCATCATCGTGAATCAGATCCTGAGATCAGCAGGAGCCTTCTTCATGCGCAGAACTTTCAAGGGAGACGACCTTTACAAAGCAATTTTCAAGGAGTATGTTACTCTGCTTGCTGCTGACAGTTTAAATATGGAGTTCTTCATTGAGGGCACGAGATCTAGAACCAACAAAATCCTGAGTCCTAAATACGGATTCATCAGTATTCTGACCGGAGCCTACTACAAGGAAAGAGTCAAGGACTTGACCTTCATCCCAGTCACCATCAACTACACCAGGACTCTAGAGGGAGAGACCTTCCCATTCGAACTTACTGGAGAAGAGAAGGTTAAGGAGAGTCTTGGAAGAATCTTGAAAGCAGTGCAAATTTTCAGCATGAATCTGGGAACTATTTACCTTGACTTCTGCGATCCAATTAACTTCTCTGACTTTAATAATCAGCAAGTAGCATTGAACCCTAAACTCGATCCTTTCAAGAATGACAAGGACAAGATATCTATCACCAATGATCTAGGCTTGAAAATTATTTATGAAATGTAAAGACATGTAAGGATGATGCCAACCACTATGGTTTCTTCTATGCTCTTGATGCACAGAAAAGGCATTAATGAAGAAGATCTAGATAAAAAAGTAAGATGGCTTGGTCAAGATCTTATTTCAAGAGGAGTCATGCTTTCAACTGAAGGCCTTCCATCATCAAATACACTTAAGATTGGATTATTCCATTTGAATGACTACCTTGCCAAGAAAAGAGACATCTTTCAACCCTTAATCCAGCATAAAGTTGACTATAAAAACATACTTATGTTAGGCTACTATAGAAATCCACTCAATTACGTTTACTTTAACGAGGGAGTAGTCATCGTCAGCTTGCTGTCATTCGGTCTTGAGAGCGCTTGGTCAATTGAGACTGGAGTTGACATCAGTTAAATTAGAGAAAGAGCCATTTACCTCGCAGACCTTTTGAAGAGAGAAGAAGTCATTGAGGAAAGAATTAGCAAGTCAACTCCGCAAGTTTTTGACAAGGTCATTCAGAGTATGATTGAAAGAAAGATGCTCATCAGATCTGAAGTTAATAGCTAGAAATTAGCACTCAGGTCGAGTCAGGAAACTTTGATTATATTTGCTGCGTCGCTTGTTTGGCAAATGGTCGACTCTTACTATGTCGCTATTCTTTTCACTCTATCCATGATTAAGAACAAAAATATTGAAGCTAGCACCATTACTAAGAGAATGCAATGGCTGGCTGAGAGTCTATTCGAGGAGAGAACTATTCCTTACTATGAAAGCTGTAACCAAGAAAGCTTTAAGAATGCTGTGAACGCTCTTCTCGACATGAAAATCTTTGTGAAGGCTAGCGTCTTCCTCCAACTTAACAAGGTCTATAGAAAAGATGAGAAAAAGCTGCAAGAGGTAATTGCCTAGATTTCTCAATTCAGATAAAACACAAACATCAATCAATTTTTGAATTAGTTTGAACAAAGACAACTCGTTGAGAGTGGGCCTTCGAACAATAAACAGCTAGCTAATGGCATCAGAAGATCCGTGCTAGCTGAGTTCCCATTCTTGGCCAAACTCTGAGAGATTTTATCAATCTTGTTGATCATAGAGAAACTAACATATCAATTACATTTGATTACTTAAACTTTCAAATTGTTTAAGTTAATTAACTTAATAGAATCACATGCATCTGCAGTTTATAAGCTTGAAGGGGTTTTGGGGTTTTGGGGTTTTGGGG